ATGCTTCTCTGTGGTTTTTCTCGTCCTCTGAACTTGGCAGTCCTGATATTTGTCCCATCATTTGTGTAACAAATGCTCTGTTAAAAATTAATAGGCTAACATCCTCTTTTTTTTATTTTTTTTTTATATTTATTTATGATTTTCAAGAATAAACAGGCAAATTAGAGGACAAAACAACAAGGATAAAAAAAAAAAAAAAAACTAACCAGAATCATCAAAACAAAAATCCACAGAACAGAACAATCAAAACACTGTCAGCTAACAAAGGGTCTGATAAGAGGATAAAATGCACATCAGATTCTAGAGTGTTATCGAGCATGAGACAGAGTCCAAGCGAGTAAGAGACATTTCTGAGGACATTGAAACAAACAGCCCACCATGGAATATGGAATAACAAGAAAAGATGAACACAAGTTATAATCACAATAAACATGACGAAACGGTAAATGAGTAAAATAAATTATTAGAAAATACAGGTCCAGATGTAAACGACAGTTATTTTAGCCTATTATTTTGTATGTATCTATTGAAAGGACCCCACACATCCAGGAACTTTTGATGATTGTCAGACAAAGAGGATTAGTTTCTTTTTTAATATCTGAAATACTGTTGATGTAAACTTGCTCTGTCTACCTCACATTACTTCCGTCTGTTTTGTGATTTTCTCAATTGTCGTTTGACTTCGCAATTTGACGACTCGAAAATGGACCTCCGTCTCTTTAAGAAGCTCCTGCTGAGGTTTCCGCATAGCAACTAAAATCCCTCTGCACGGTTAATCCTGGCCTCTCCTGCTCCTCCTCCAGCCATGTTTCGCTTTCCTCCGTTTGTTGCATTTTTAGGATTTTATTGCATTTGGTTAAGCTTGATGCAAACCTTACAACCCAACAGAGCTCATGGTAGCAATAAATATTACACTTGTTCTGCTCTTGTTTGAATATTGAGGAAACCGGAAAGCTTTTTCTTTTTTTTTTTTTTTCATTCTTTTGATGTAATGTAAACCTTTCAAAGCCTGACTCCTCCTAATATAAACCTTTAGAAGTCAGTTTTTAATGCGACGGTTTTTCTCTCTCTCTCTGTGCAGGTCCTCTGCGTTCAGATCAAGTGTTTCCATGAAATCATCACGATCGGGTACAACGTGTACCACTCCTACGAGCTGCCCTGGTTCCGGACGCTGAGCTGGTGAGGCCTGCATCAATAAAATATGAACATCTAACAAAATGAGCCGTCTCGGTTTGTTTCTCATTATATTGTCTAAATTTTTTTATGTCGCAGATGTCCTGAGGTTTGTTTTCTGGCCTCTTGTAGTTTGTTCACATTGTAGATTGTTCCTTAAAGCTGCAGTATGTGACTTTTATATAAAATATGTATATATGTTTTTTATATTTTTGTTGCAATTATCAATATGTCATGACAGTATAAGACAGACAATTTGGGGAAAAAAGCTGCATTCTCCAAGTACAAACTGCAGAATTACGCCATTCAGAAACAACCAATCAGAGACAGGAGGAGGGCCTTAGCGCTGTCAATCACTCTCGTGCTCACCCCCTCCAGCTTGCGCTTAGCTAAGCAACAGCTGTTTCACCACATTGTAGCCTTCCACTAATGCTAACGCTAGTCAGCATAGCCAGCGATGAAGGCATGTAAACGGTTTTCCTGTAACGGTCAGTTGCAGCAGCGGCTAACCGAGGTTGATTGACAACGCTAAGACCCGCTTCTTGACTCTGAGTGGTTGTCTTTTTTTTTTTTTTTTTTTTTACCAAACATCTTTCTCGACATAGTGACAGTTTTAATAAATATTGGAAAGACATGTTTTTGTAAATCCGTAACTAATATCAGGTTTGAGTTTTAGCAGCAGTAGGAAACCCTGTAGCTATTTTTATGCCACAAGCCTGAAAAAAACCTGCTGGGAAACAAAAGTCTGTCGCAGACCACACGCATGTGAGCCGTCCAGGTTTTCTTCAGGCGTGGCGACCTCTGATTAGTCCGTGTTTAACCGCCACCCCGTGTCCTGCAGGTACTTCCTGCTGTGCGTGAACTACTTCTTCTACGGCGAGACGGTGACCGATTACTTCTTCACGCTGGTGCAGAGAGAGGAGCCTCTTCGCATCCTCAGCAAATACCACCGCTTCATCTCCTTCGCGCTCTACCTCACAGGTACGGCCGGAGCGGAAAGCCGAGCGGGAATCCCTCCGTCATGCCGGGGGTTGAGTTTCTCATTGTGGACAGGGTTACTTTCTGGGTGTTTGTGTTTTCCCAGGATAGCAGTTGCCGTTTTTCTAAACCGATTTACGTCTTTATGTCTTTATTCTCGCAATTAAACAAAAATTCTTGTAACCTGGCCCTAATAGTCTGTCGTACGACTCCCAGAATGGATGATTGGGAGAAAAAAAGGCACTTTTTGAAAATATTTTCTGTCATTTGTAATTCCTGTTTTAGAAAAGAAAGTGAAAAAAAAAAAAAAAAAAAGTAAAGTATTTTTTAGCAGAAAATGTGATAAAATCGATCTGGGTGC